GCTTAAACCCCTCCGATTCCTGATTCTGGGGGGAGGACTCAAACGCACTTGTGACTCGTGAGCTACAGATGTCCATGAGCGTCGGTAGTTATCACCAGGCGATCCGTCTGCTTGTTTTACTCTCCTATGCCATACAAAATGATTATACTTTGTGTATAATCATTTTTTATGAAATGATTATTTAAAAAATGATTATACACAAATCATGCAGATTACTAGGCAGTGTATTGTAAATACAGGGTGCAAGGGACGTCGTAACGAATACTGAAATGGTGTATTCAGACCATCGTGATTCTATTTGTTTTTGTTCGATTATGTTTTTCTAAACTATTCGAAATTAAATTGCAAATTTCTTTTCAAATTCAAAGCATCTCACATTTTGAATTTTATTTATAACCAACGGCTGTGCTATGATTAGACGACGGTGTCAAGCAAACGAGGTTTGCTCGAATATACGGCGTAATTTGCGTAGTCTACAGACGCGGCGCAATCAACTGCGCGTATTGTGTAGGGCCCTTTGTGCTGTTTTCTTAGCACTAAACATACGAATTTCACTACAACATACGTTTACTTTGAACTGTATAGTGCCCAATCGTAAATAATGTTTTAAACATACTTTCTGAGGGAGGTCGATGAATGTAAGCCTAATGTTGACAGTCCTATTGACGTATTGCGGTTTTTTTTAAGTGAGGAGTTTTATCAGATTTTTATAATGAGACTATAATAGGGTTGACATTAGCGAGTGTTTATAAAGGTACAATCTATTATGATCTAGGTATATGGATAATTCTAAAGAATGCGAGCAAGTCAAACCAAAGTAATGCCAACCTATCTTTATGTTACAATATTTATGATAACTAATTGAACTATTTTTTTTTTGCCATAATATAAATAGTAAGTTCTGAAGGTCTTATGCTTTTTGACTAAGCAACAATAATTCCAAAAGCTTAGTTTATATCAATTCCCTAAAGGCTCGTTCCCTAAAGCTAACAGTGCTTGAGGTAATATGCACTGACGTGTTAATTTGAGCAGATGCACACGGCGCCGATTATTAAGAGGGGAACAGCGTGCATTTAATAAGTAGGTACTTACGTATGTTATTTATGTTAGCCCTTACAGCCACACTTTGATTCCTTGTATGTATAGAAGGTAAATTTATACGGCGTCCGTAGTAGTTATTCGGCATTTACGAATATGGCTAGTTAAATATATAATCTTTTATAAATTGAATTAGAACTATGATGATGATAGAACGTATATTGTTCATATTCATTTAAGTTTATACACTACTTAAGTATTTTTTAAATTACTTATATACATTTAAATACATTAATATAATGACCCCTTTGTCTAGATTACACTAGCCTTACTTCTCAGTGATTTTTAGGGTGCTGTTCCTCAAAAGGAAAAATGAAGAATAATTTTGTCGTCCGCCTGTCTTCCTGTCTGTCAAGACCACTTACATGTCTGTGATGATGATGTCTGAAAAAACCATGCTTCTATGTCGCAATGCAATCAAAAGATATGGCCATTTAAGTTTTAAATTTTAACACTTCTCAAGTAAATCTAAATGATGCTACTCTGGCTACTTTCCATGAACCTTGAATCATATAATTTATACGGTCTTACAGCACAAGCGCAGTTAGCGCAGTTTTGTTATATTATCATGTTTTGGCGCTTACAAACTTATCAAATCTAAGACACTTTTCCGCAGAATGACGTGTAGGTATCAAGTTAAAATAACTATCAAATGCTTATCTTTAAAGGTGAAGTAATTAATTTGTTGTTATATCACATAAAATATTTATTGCATACTTTTGTTTTAGGCTTGGAAGATTTATATTATTTATTTAATTTACTCTGCCGTGTACCCATGTTTGGGGGAATATTTTTATCTTTAAAGTCGTTCAATAACTTTATCTTAGACAATTTTTTCTCGTTTAAATACGGAACATTCAGTGTGCATGAACTTGCACTTGTCCGTTTTAGATTTTAGATTATGCATGTACGTGAAGGGAACCCTCGAATACATGAAAATGATGATTTGTAATATAATGATATAGACTTTAACATCTATTAAATAAAGTATGTTATTTCTAAAAAGTGTGAATCAAAATAGAATTCACTCAAAACCATCGAGGTTTTAACAGCCGAATGCTTAATGAGGAGGTGGATTTTTGTTTAATTAAGTTTCAAATAAAAGCAACCGGCGTAATTTGAATAATAATAAGAATGTTCGTCGGAGATTTCCATTGAGGGATCCTCTTTTGTTTTGCCCAAGAGATTCGTACTTCTGTTTTGTTAAGAAAACTGTTTGACGAAATTGTTCTGACACAGTTCGGCTATTTTGTTGTATATTTTAAGGAGAACTCGGCCTTAATTGAGCTGATGAATTTTGATAAAGAGCAAGTCTATCTAATGGTGTATGTTCACAATTACAACCACCTTTAATACTGTGACCTTATAATGAAACACTGAGGTGAAAATTAAATGTATATAGAAATGGCCTATACGATACATAGCAAAGTAAAAAGGAGCAGCGCAGTTTAGTTTGGCCAGAAAATCTTCTTCGCAGCGCACTCTCTAAAGCGCATAAAGGCATCACCAAATTTTTGTTTAGGCAAAACTGCTACTTACGGCAATTGTTCTACAGAAGCTTTCGTAAAATATATTTTGTGAAATCCTGTGAGTGGCCCTGATTAACGAAAAGGCACAGAAATGAAACGGCTTTTCCTGGTTAACGTATCAACGAAGTGGACAAATCTTAGGTAGTTGTGGGTGTGTTATATCCCCTATTCCTAATTCTGTAACCAAACATGTTGATGATGAATTTACGGTACAACACGCATTTTTTTATATGTATTTCATTAAATGTTTCTAATTGCAAATCCATACATCTCTTAATTCTTAATTATTGTGTCATTCCTAATGACACTAATTAACGAAAAAGACAGTTTTAATTTGAAATCTGCTGCCGGTAGAGAACACATTTTAAACACACCATTGACAAAGAAGCCTAAAGAAAATAAAAAGCCTATCGCGATTCTTATATGTCATTTCACACAATAATTTGAAGGTATTATGTATAAAGGTATAGGTTTCGAGAGCAAACACATTTCGTACTCTCAAAGCTTTCAACAACAAAACAATAGAAACGAGATTGAGAAACAAGTTAATAAAGTTTTTAATAGGTTGCAGATTCAACAGATTGCTTTTGCACAGGGCCATTCATTTGTTTCTCCTTGATATAGTCGCTTAATGTTACAGTTGTAAAAAAATAAGATAACGACTTCTAATTTCATTTCCATACATTGTTAAGGAGCAAAACAAGTTCTTGTGTGATTTTTCTTTAAAAACGATTTAATTTGCCAAAATTCTGTTAGGATTCTTACATTTCGAATCGTCGATGCCATTTAAGTATTTTACATTTAATTTTACAACTAAAAGAAGTAACGGCTTGATAATGGCTAAGACGGTCGGACGAGTTATGTGGCGCAATACGTGTAATATGGTGGAAGACTGTAATCCCAGCAATGTATAGCATTTTCCATTCCTGATCAATGTAAATATTGATAAGCATGAAAATTACTATCGCATAAGTTTAGCGCAGGCGTTCTTAAATAATATTTTAAATATGTAGTAACAAAAAATATGTATTATTATAGTAAATTCTCTAGAACCTGTAGTGTACACCTTGGGTATTCAAAACATTGTACACAATATTGGTTCCCCTTAATATTAGTATTTGCAATATTTGGTGAGAAACAAATAAGTTTACAAAGCGATATCCGTCTGTCAAGCCAATCCCAAAACTACAAGTAGTAATTATTCAATTTCAAATCACAATAACAGTGGCTTTGTTAGAGACGACGTTTAACGTATGTTATGTTTACGTTGGCGGCGGTATAGCCACCGACGGGACCGCAGGTCGCCAGAGAGTTCCGACCCCTGGTGGCTGATTAAGGCTGAGGCTTGTTTTTGGTCGAAACACCACATACTCCTAACTCCTGTGTCCACAAGAAGCCGGACATCCGAAAGGATTTTTCATCCCGTCACATAAAAAAAGTATCATAATACGACCACTCACACATTTTATATCTATGTTTCGAGTAAATCTTAGTGAGAGAAAATTTTAGAGAATCTGTCAGAGATATGTAGCTCATTCAGTTCACTTTTTAAATTCTTTGTGTGGTTAAACTAAACATATTACTAAAATGCAGTCTACCGTAACGGTTACTAACTAGTATCTTTGGAGAGCAGTTCTTTTCATGTGATTTATGGACTTGTTGATGTATCTTTGTAAAGATCTAATACAGTTACAATTTTTCTTAGAAAGTTTCCTATCGTTACGCTTTCAATGCGGACAGTGAGATGTTCAATCATTTCACACACGCAATCTTTACTTATGCTTTTGATGGCAAGGCATTTTATTTCGCTCTCGAAGTTTTCACATTGTGAGACAAAGACATTTTTTATCAAATTGTGTAAATAGTAACTTTTTAGTTAGTAATGTTAAGATATCAAGCAAATAACGTCGCCATAGTTAATTCAGGTAGATAAATCAGTGAAAAATTTATTAATAATGAATTAATTCACAATCTGTAATCAAGTGTAAAAATGCACTATGGCAGGTCAGTTATGAAAGGTTTAGAAAATATTACTGTTTATTTCAAACTTACATTTGAAAATCTACTCGTATTATAACGATTTCTTTTGTATTGCATAATGGAACTTTGAAAACAAATATAAAAATCTGACCAGTTAGGGTTAACTCCGGCTCAATCATACAAGTAAGATTTTCAGCTGTTTTATGCAGAGTGAGTTATACCTAATATTAGAAGTAAGTAAGACTTAATATCCAGCAACATTATTAGAAGTAAGTAAGACTTAATATCCTGCAAAGCACTTTTTATTAGAAAATACTTACACTAATAAATGCATGACAACTATTTACAACGTTATGACTACGTAAGCACTTACATGAATCACAGGATTTTGTGTTATTGTTTTACATAAACTGGTGGTAGGTAGGTCTTCACTGTGGGTCCTGCTCGCCCTAGTGGAGGCAATTCGTACATTTGTACAGGAGGAGGACTCAAATTCATTTTAGGTCCATCTACGTGGTCATCCTGCGTATTCATCATATTTTTATTTCTTTGCAAAACTTTATAATTTTTTATAGCTCCACGCAACTCGTGCTGATATAGCGTGGGTTGGTTGCGGCTGCTTTTATCTTCCACCATTTCTTGATCATCTTCATCAGTAAAGTATTGCGTATCAGTTTTTTGTTTAATACTATTCGGAAGTTGTTTAGTTTCTGATCTTAACTTGGTAGATTCGAACTGGTTGCGGGCTAAATAGTTCATTATATTAGCTATGTCCATGGGCCTACTGTTTAAAGACTTAATTTCGTTGTATGGCTTGAGATCATAATAAATATATTTTGGGTTGGCATATTTGTCTGTTTTTGTCTCTGAAATTGGTTTAACTTGCAGGTTTTTATTTTCAATGGTTAATTTATTACTTGTTTCTTGATTATTCTTATTATTTTGAAAGAAATTCTTTAAAAATATATTTTGTTTCAGCATATCTTCTATGTTAATTTCAGTTGTTGTGGTGATTTCTGAGTGAGAGATTGGTTGCGTTTTTGATATCGAAATAATTGGCTTAAAACCATTTTTACTATCTTCGTGAATTATGAAATCTGTGAACTTATGTTTATTAATAGCACTAGATGGTTCTTGTGTCGTAAAACCATTTGGTTTTATTTGAATTTGATTTGTTTCTAGACTTGTTTTATTTGATATGTTTTTTTCGAATCTCAGGGGTATAACGTTTAAATTCATATTATTATTTTCAGTATTTTTGTTTTGAACTCTCGTTTTTCTTGATTCGAAACCATTGTCGTCATAATTGTAGCTTCGTGTAACGGTTTGACTGTGAGGTATAAACTGATCTTGTGTTATGATTTTGGATTTTGAATTTTCTTTCACCTCACTGTGAGATTCCTTTGTTATTTCTTCAATGCTCCTGTTATAATTGGGATGTTGATGCTCCTTAGTAGTGGATTTATCGGAAGGTGTATTTTTTTCACTTGAATATGTTATAGGATTAACAGTATTTAAAATATATTTGTTATACTGATACATGTCGCTAACTTTTGGGTAACTATTTAAATTATCATAATAATGTTGTTGATTATTAGAACTCTCGAGTAAGTCCGGGATTTCAGAGGTTATCTTCATATTTGGCTCTAACTGTTCTAACATTTTTGTGTATTGATCAGCGGTCATTTCACTAAAATTTACACTTACATCGTCTTCACTAGATGATCTTGAAATTAAATTTTTATCCATTTTTCGATTTAAGTTAGCATTAATACCATATTGCCACCTCCATAACGCTTTGTTACTTTCCTGATCTGTGTCTTTCATATTTGCTTCATAGTTCACTATCTGAGGCATTGTTGGTCTTTCAGTAGTAAATATTCTAACTGTATGTTGTTGTTGTTGGGGCGCATTTACAGACGGAGCGTGAGCGCCCTGTGAAGCGAGAAAAGTTATTTGTGGCGAAATTGTTCCACTGTTTTGTTTATTTAGTATTTGATCAGGGAAATCAACTGTTTGAATAGGAGTTTGCGAACTAGCTGCGGCTATTAAATTATTTTGTGTATTAGAACTCTGTGAAAAACTATGTGAGAATGATTCGGGATTTCTCCCCGTAAATAAATTACTGAGATGCGGCGGTGAGACTGCAAAATGGTGCCGGTTTTCGGTTAATTCATTTTCTTTCTCTTCTTCATTCCACAATTTAAAGTGCGGTGGTTTTTTAAGCTCCTCTGCTAAGTTGAACTGTACTGATCTAAAACAAAAAGATTTTATTTTATGTTTTTACCTGAGCTTTAGAGCTTAGTCGCGGTAATATTGACATGCTTAGAAATTGAGAAAGTTTGAAAAGAGTTCAGTTAAGAAAATTAACTGATCAAAACAAATATTGTACAAACCTTTGAATTATTTCTGGTATAGGTGGTGCTACTGGTAAATGTTCTCCACTTGCTCTAAAACCATTGGAGTCCGCAATGTAATGCACAGTATATGTTTTTCCATCATCACCAACATAAGAATATGACCCTTCTACAACTTGTTCTTCTTTATCTCCTGTATTTTCCATGCGACTATGTTGTACATAATGAGTCTGATCAGCACCCAAAGCCCTAAAAGTTTAATAAACAATGATCTTGAGTGATGACCAGTAAAATGTAAGTTTCATCATCATCATCATCATCAACAGCTTTTAACAGTCCACTGCTGGACATAGGCCTTTCCTTAGAAAGGAGGTTTTAGCCTACTATAACACGCTGGCCAGACGGGTTGGTATAGGGTTTGTGTCAAGTTTTCCTTCTCTTTGCAGAGTTATTGTTCTGCATAGTTTGCTCCCTTCGTCGGCTCTAACGACACCCACGGGATGATTGGGGGTGGTGACAATCCGTATTCTTAATTCGTCACCACACGGACTAATGTAAGTTTAAAGTACCTTTACTTACTCATAGCTAAAGCTTCCATCTAAATCCATTTCGTTCGAAAGTCGCAGTATAGGTATTGCAGTTTCTGTAGTAGACATAAAGACACCAGGATGGGAGACAAATTGTGCTCCCATAAAATTAGCTGACTTTAATTGGTCCATGTTGGTATCTCTTTGTATATCTGATATTATTATACTCCGAGGGGACATAGATTGCGTGCCCGAATTTTGAGTAGCAGATTCAGAATTAGTATTAAGTTGAACCGGCAACTTTGTATCTATCCTATCTATGGGGTGTTGGTAGTTTTTAGGTACTGGTCTTATTTCTCTTCTATTCGGTTTGTGTATTGCATCCCTTTGAGTTCGATTGTATTGATTTCGTAAATCGTGTGGTGTAGGAGTGAAGGGTTTGTCCTGATTATCATCGTCATCTTCATCAGAAGACATCGGCAATAGCGTTGTTGATAACAGGATTGGAAAAGGACTTCGGGTTCCAATGGGGGATTTCGGAATGGTTGACGGTAGATATGGAAATTGAAGGTTGTTGAAGTTCTTCATAGGGTAGTATGGTAGCACAGTCTGGCTTTCAGGCGGTAAGTAGAACTGTTTTTCAGCCGAAAACATTCCAGGCTGAGAACCTTGAAATTGTGTGGGAAGTGTGAATGATTCATGACCTTCAGTGTCCACTGCTAATCTTATCAACGAAATAATAAGTGGTATCTGAAAAAACAATAATATCGTGTTACGTCCTAACTTACGGTTTTCTTTAGTAATCTGAACAAATCCATTTTCACTTAATCACACGAACGTCTTGCACTTACCAGCTTCATTTCTCTTGAAGCTGTAAACGCTTTGATAATAATTTTCACGTCACTCTATAGCACTTGTAGTAAATAGACTGGTAATGAAAATGAATTCCGCATACATTTATACGCACGCGTGATGTGTCTAGGCATTGGTGAAAGAGATCGTTTTGTTTTAACAACGTTTCTCTTAAATGAACAGTGCTTTTTTGCTTCGTTCGTTCGTATCTTGTATGCTGGCAGTCTTCAATTACTGCAAAATATAATTGCTGTTGAACGGTATTGCTTTACATCAAAATCATTACCATATTATAGTGAAACCTTGTTTTAACAAAAATAGAAGTTTATATTTACGTAGATATTTCCGTAGCTTTCTGTTTACTCTGATATAATATGTTATAACAAAACTAACATGGTTGTTTATGATGTTGATTTTACTCAACTTTGCCCGATGGTACCCTCCTTCGAGCACAGTCGAGCAATGTTTATGTTATTCGCGTGTACGGATATTTCTTTGGAACGCTCTGTAGCCTAACGAATTAATAAATGGCATAAAATTAAATGGCTGGCAATTGGCGCCCTTTTATATCTTAAAAAAATTTAAAACCTTAAATACAAAATTTTAATATGGAACAAAAATGTTTAAAAAGATTGAATTTTTTTTCTATTAATTTATGAATTCAGTTAATACATTAAGAAAACAATGTTAAGGCAGTTAGGTATTTTGTTTTTTAAAATACAGGTGTTGTCTGTGTTTTGTGTATCGTAAATAATATAACGTGATTTAGTAAGGAACGAAAGAGACAAATGATTCATGTGGTTTCGTTAATTAAAGGGTTTAAAGCCCCGAGAAGTATGACGGGACTTTCAATAAATATCAAGATATATGGGTGGTTTGTATGTGGTCATGCTGAATTCGCGACCATGGTGATGCAACTTTTGTAATGGTCAAAGGCGAGTCAATGGCCCTAAAACCAGTTTGCAAGAATTTTTTGGTCGAAAGCAACCTGCGGTTTTACTTACCAGTAATATGGCAATGGTTTTTCTTTTTGTTGTTTACTTGTGAATATCGGCAGGTGAACCTTTAATAACAGTACTTCATGCTTGGATGTGCATTTATACTTTTTAACTCCAATAGCAATCGACTGAGTTTTTTGATAATCACATTTTATTAAATGGATCTAAGAAGAGGCCTATGTCCAGCAGTGAACTAGTAAAGGCTGTTGATGATGATGATGATGATGGTGAAACAACACGTTCTTATATTTCTTTGGCGTGGTTCAAGAGGCAGGTTAATATGAATAATACACGCATATTATAGTAGAGTAAATCCAAGAATTACAAAAATTTGTAATGTGAAGTCGTGTTTTTATGTGCTTACATTGCAAAGGATGGCCTAACCTTAGGAGGTATATGTCTATCTCTTTAATATAACCCACAGTAACCATTTTTATCTTTTACATATTACAAAAAAATAATGGGTTATCGACGAAGCTATTTTGAAGAATACAGTAATATTCATCATCCAAATAAATACGTTTGATACGTTGTGCGTTTAATGTAGATCAAAATTGCCCTTTTTAACATACGAGTATCATTAAAATGTATATCTTAGAAGATATCAGAGATTTAAAATCGGGGGCCAAGTGGCCGTCGTCAGGCGGAAAGTACACACAGCAGGTCTGTAACTATTGTATACTAGCTGACCCACGCAACTTCGTCTGTTTGACTCAAAAGGAATAAATTTTGCCCGTTTTCGCAACATTTTTCATTGATACTCGGCTCCTATTGGTCGTAGCATGATGTTATATAGCCTATATCCCTTCCTCGATAAAAGGGTTATCCGCTACTAAAATAATGTTTCAATTTAAACCCAGTTCCTGAGATTACCCCAAACAAACAAATTCACAAACTTTATAATATTAGTATAGGTCTTTTACAGCTTCTGTCTCGTTCACTCAACAATTTTCGTATAATGAAATTTAAAAAAATCTGTTTGATCTTTTTGAAAATTTCTTTTATACAAACCTAGTCCTGACAAATAACGAACACAAAAAGTGAATTAACGAATTTAGTACAGTCGTTCGGAAGTTTTGCACGTTTTTTCGGCGATTCATTTTTATTTATACTCGTATGTAGTATGTTGTATGTAGTAGATAAAGATGTCCTGTAATATAGTCCTATCATAATAATAGTATAATTAATTACTCCATCCTGACACCACCGTTCGCGACCGGGGTGGATCGCTAGTGTTATGTAAAAAAAAAAATAGAAAAAAAAGTTAATAAAATTTATTTTGAGAATAATTATAAAAACGATTAATACACTTATTTACATGATTAAAAAAAGCTTCAGCGACCTCCGGCGCCGAAGCCGTCTGCGGTACCTGGCCCACTCTCGCTCCGTGGCGGCAATCATGTTACCGAGCGAGAGAATTCCCACTCCGACGGCCGTTACGCCTTTGCTCTATCCATACCAGGCATTCTGCCAGCGTGTGGAGTGCCGTGTCCACGGTCCGACCATCGCAGTGGTGGCACTCAGGTGTTGGCTCCTTGCGGATCAGATGCAGGTGATCTCCGAAGCATCCTTTCCCAGTAATCACGTGCGTCAGCCGGTAAGAGAGGGTTCCGTGACGCCTCTCGAGCCAATCCTCCATAACGGGTCTTACCGCCGCAATATCGGCGTGCGTGGCGCTCGGTTCCTTCCACTCCTCTACGAGGACCTGGCGGAGTCGGGATTTCTGGTCCTCGATTTTTCGAGTCTCAGGACTTCGCATCGCAGACGCGGGTCATAGCCTCCCGGAACCACTCTGCCTGGACATCCACGTCGAAAGGCTTGTCCGGCGCAGGGGCCCATGCCTGTACAATGGCAGCTGCCAGGAGGAGCTCCCGATCTAAGCGCTTGAGCGCCCAACATGGTTCAGGTGGTGCCGGCCTAACCAAGTTCCACATTTGTAAGAGCGGAGCACGCAAACGAGATGTCCACGATCGAACTGCCCCTCGCTGTTACAAACGTGGCTACGGCCTCCCGGGCTAGGATAACTAGGCTGAATCTTTCGCCTCTGTTCTCCAGTACCCAGCCCCTCGGAGCTGTGCACTCCCCTGTACCACAATGGCCATTTTGTGTAAATAAATTTAATTATGGTTTTATATTACTTTTTTAATCAAACCCATGACTTGACTTGACATAATGAAAAAAGGGTCCACAATTTATAAACATTTTTATTGTCCATACAAATAAATACCACTTTTGTACACAAAATACACAAAACTTGTCTCACCTCAATCAGCGATCGAATTCACAATTTACAATCGTGACTTAGACACTGACAATTGATACATATTGATTTGATTAAAATCGTAAAAATCAACGAGAGGTATTATTCACATGCAATGTCTTTCTATCCATTAAAGTGCATTTTACAGCTTCGCCGAAGTTGAGGTTTTACTTTTTATGATTTCAAACAGTACTAATATGGTACATGTTAATCCAGATGCGCTTTAATGGACAGCAGACGTAACATTTTTAACAAGTATTATGACATAAATATCTATAGTATTTAATTTGTACTACGAATTGTACAATTATATAATTTTTTTAAAACTACCAATTCAAATCTTAAACGTTGTATTTTAGGTAGTAGTTTTGCTGCTGAGGCTGGTTGTACGATTGTTGCGGTGGGTTGTATGATTGTTGGGGTGGGTTGTACGATTGTTGGGGTGCGTTATACGATTGTTGGGGTGGGTTGTACGATTGTTGGGGTGGGTTGTATGATTGTTGGGGTGGACTGTATGTTTGTTGGGGTGGGTTGTACGTTTGTTGGGGTGGATTGTATGATTGTTGGGGTGGGTTGTTAGTTGGATTTGTGGTTATGGATGGATTAGAGGGCTGCTGGTTGACAGGCGCGGCAGTCTGAGAAGGATACTTGTTAGACCCTTGCTGTGAGCTGTAACAAATAAAATCATTATGTTTATTTGCAATAATGATGTTAAAGCCAAACATTCGAAAAAGCCCTATATTATGTCATAGACATAAGTTAGGTAACTTTATGTACACATATTGTATGTTGACTAATAAATTAATCTCTATCTGCTCTATTAACCTTACAAGGTTAATAGAGCAGATAGAGATTAATTTATTAGTCAACATACAAAATTTACCTAATCTTATAGGTACTCCTATTAACGGTACCATTTGTTTCTGATTTTGACAAAATTTGAAACTATTCCTCACCGGCTAATACGCCTCCACTTTTTCGAAGTTAATAAAGTAAATAAAAGTTGCCTCTGATAAATACCCGAGGTATAGGAATAAAATAACATATTGTAAACTAACTATATTTTATGTTACTATTTGTTGAAAAACGAGGTATTAGTTACAATTTAAACTACTTTGTTTGGATTTTCCTTATGAAAACGGAATGAACATGGAACACCTTAAACTTATTAAAATATGAAGCATTTGAAATTTAATTTCAATTAATTTTTAATTACGATGATTTCGTAACTCTAAACCATGGGAACATTTAACAGAAAAAAAAATTAAATATGTTCAAATTCAGTACCAGCACAGTCCAGTGTTTTACACAAAGTTATGAAAGTAAAATAGGTTGATAGTTTAGGCGAAGTTTAAACTTAGTATTATAGGATTATACCTAGGTAGAGGTTTAAAATTAGTCTATGAAAGTCCAGGTTTTATAATAATGCTTTTCTCGAGGTGACTGTTAATACAATTGAGCTACACCGTCAGTTTATTAATTTATCTATGTATCAAACACTCTGAGTTTAATAACGTTCTATGTAATACTTACGGGTTCTCAACGTATCCAGAAGATCCACCAGGTAGATGGCTTCCGAATGCATGGTATCCAGTGTGGTCAGCCCAGTAAGTGACTGTATAGATAATGCCGTCAGCACCGCGGAAGGAATACCAGCCCTTCTTCACAAGACTCTCTCCATTTTGATTGGGGTCGGTAAAGTAACCTTGTTCGCCAACGCTGGTCCCGTCTGCGATCTGATATCTAAACAAAAGATTTATAAATTATATTTTGTTTTAAATTTCTAGAAACTACGCCATTAGCATTTTGTTTTACTTCAGTACTGTTCTACTACGAGTTAAAAATATGTAAATGTTTATTCTATCCACATTATATAACTGACAATATGATCTGTATATGTACATCACACGATATTGATTACTGAACATAGGTTTTTACGGAGGGACTTTTAGTTTTAATAATAATAGTTAAAAAAAACTAAAAAACACGCTTTTTATAGAAAACCAAACTAAAAAATAGAAAATAAATATTAATAAATTAAAAAAAAAAGCGTTGGGTGCATTTTGTCAATAGTAAAAAGCACCCCAAGCTTTTTTTTTTCATAAAGAGCGTGTTTTTTAGTTTTTTTAAACTATTTTTTTTTAATTAGTGTATTGTCATCGGTACTCGATATGTCTACGGAGTTTGAAAGAATTCTGACCGTTTACAGTTAGTCAAAATCAAGCCCAAGGGAGTCGGTTACAACCAAACATATCTTCATACGTATGTTTGCGTTCTGTGGGTTTGCGTTCATTAGGAAATTGTAATAACTGTACAATTAATTTCATGGTCAATTTAACTTCATTGAAAAATCTAAAAAATTATCGTAGATTGCTTAAAACTAATTAGTTCTTTTTTCAATATATTATCATATTTTGCTGTGAAACTAAGTTTAAAAGTTGTGCTAAAAGTTATATATCTTTCTAAGTAATCTTTATCGCATATGTTTCAAACACTCTTTTAACTTAGGCAATCTAAAAATACTCGTCAACACACGTCACAGTAAATTTTTCAAAGAAATATAAGTTCGTAATTACAAAATATATTTTTGTGTCATATAACAATATTTACTCAATTATTTTGATTCTGAAGGTAAAATTCAATGCAATCAAATAAACTGAATCTTTTGACTACGTTGACTTATAAGCTTTATTATTTTGCAGACAGTAAGTACTTGATTGTTCATTTTAACATTATACCTAAACGCATTCCAGAGAAAAACGGGCATTGTCAGGTAAGGGGATGGCCAGACTAAAAAGTCATTCTGTTAAGATATTTTTTTTAGAAAGGAAACCTTAAAACTATTAATGTATAATTATTTTCAAAAAAGTATCATCGACTTCAAATATTGATAAATGAAATATTGATTACTTAAGATAAATCACAACATTAGAAAGAAATTAAAGATCACAGTTATGGACATTTTAACATGCGTATTAATATAAAAAGCAGTTAAATTTACCAGTATTATAGGTTAGCTAATAATATAATATATATGTATCTAAACTCGATATCGTTAGCATACATTTAAAATCTAAACGTACGTTTATTGTCGGTCGTTCTACTATCATTTGTTTTTCTTTGTCTTTGTATTCGTTTCGCGAAGGACTCCCGCACTATAAAGATTATATCTCAAACATTGAGGATGTTCTTAACAGTTTTTTGTCCGTTCTATGTGTGCCATATGTTTGTGATACGCTGAGAGACACCTACGCAGTTTGGTCAAGAATGTGAGCAAATATCTGTGAGAAAATCTTTAATAGATCTCAACGGTATTACCAAGTTACCAAAACTCCGTTATACAGTGAGCTAATATATTTCATCTACATAGATATAGAACAACCTTTTTACTAAGACTGTCAAATAAAGTCAGTACAGGAAACTTATTCCTTTGCCTAATTTACACGTAGTGTGAGAATTCGCTTTACCTTTAAATTTATTGTGGACATATATTTAAATGTATATACAGTAGTTAAACTAATTTAGCAGCTAATTAATGAAACATCTTTTTATTAAACAAAAAAATCTTAATAAAAACACGATTCTGTTTTAATTTATTATACATGCAGAGTCATAAAATGATTGCCTCATAATTCATTAATTCGGTGGATAAATAAAATAAGATTGGATAGAACGGTAAATTCTTTAAAGTATTTTAGTTTTCACATATTTTACTTTTTTATGATGACTTTACAGTTATTATGTGGGTTTTTAAGTTATGCGAAATGAAGTCCTTTTTGGGGTCTTTTTTAAGCCGTTGAGGTATACGATAACCGGATTACCCCTGATTTTATTTCAGATCAGACAAAGGTCCGTTGTTCGACGTTAGAGACTGAAGGAAATGACAGATTGTAATTTTTACATAATACATATTTGCATTTTGAACACTATTAACACTCGATAATGATGCTGTTCAATAAGTAAATGACTGACATGCTTATAGACGGTTACTTGTGATATAAATTGTCCCAAAATCAACGGTGTTCTTCGTTTAAATAGATAATAATTATTTATTTAGTTTAGTTAAATCGTCTAAATTTGTATTTAAATTACAGAATTTTGTTTTTCCCACGGCGCGCGTGGTATTAGTTTAAATGTAATTCGGGATGGGACGAATTCAAAAATTTGGAAAAAGAACTTAAACGGTGTTTCTAAGCGGGCCATGCAGCTTAAGAGTACTCACATTTCAAATCAAGAATTGAAATTATTGGGTTAAGAACATTTGCTTGTGTGACAATTTTAAATTCAAATTTGTTTTATATCATTGAATTTGTGTATTCACAGCGGGATATTTATGATGACCGGCATTTATGGTAAATCTCGTTAAAATGTGTATAATCGAGTATGAACTAGTCGCATATAAATCAGATTAAATCGAATATTTTTCTTGAAACACTTGGATAGCAAAACACTAAATCCTCTATAGTTGAATGACACATTTACACCTACTTGAATTGGTATGGAGGCTGTTTGGTACGAGTAAATAAGCTGAGTTTCAATTGAGAGACAATTCTCTGGAAGGTTTTTATAGGTATCTTCAAAAAACTATACTACCTAAATAAAAGGTAGACTTATTAGATTACGTTACTGACACCAAAGAAAAACCCCTTTAATCGTTGCTAAAGTTGTGAAAATATTGGTAAAGTGTACGTCATCTGATATCTCTTGTACTCGGCTGTAACTAACAGAAAACATCAGAGAGCAATATTATAATTCTGGTGCTTTATTAGATCCAATTGAATTGAAATACCAATCGTTATTAATTAAAGACACGTACAGCCAGGACACAAAAATGAAAAATGAAAAGTAAATGAATAACGAAAATAAAAAATGCAAGTCTTTGTCAGGTCCCAGAATCATAACACATGTACCTGTTAAGCTAGTGGCAGCCTGCGGGCAGGGTTGGACACCAAACAGTGACTACGACAACACACGACTTCTATTTTACAACCTGCTTACGCCGCGTTGCCGTCCTGGCAAGTCTGGTGTCTGTCTCAGCTTTTATCATAGACTTAATGGTTCATTGACTCAGTCCTCAACTATGCAAATTTTTTATCAATGACCTTTGTCTTTTAAATTAGCATGTTAAACCGTTAAAATTATGAGTAAAACTCCAGCTTACACTGCCACATAAGTAGATATGAATAAATTACCGGATTATTTTTAAGAATGCACAAATTTTACCTATATATTTAAATTTTGTATCATAGGTTAAATACAATTATAACATTTAAATTTAATTGTAAGCATTGATAAAATTCCCTGGTTTTGTTAGTGTTTACATTAATATTTCATAATTTTAGTACAGGATTCTCTTCAGTGTACCTAGACCTCATACATTCAGTTAGTACAAAATTACTTAAAAAGTACATTTTATTTTTCAATTAAATACCCGATGTCTTTTAGACCTCATCAGATCAGTCTTTAGTAATCATTTATTAGATAGACGTAAATGCCTATGATGATGATTTAGGGAGTTCCAAATTTAGAATCGTCAGTAAGGGTACACTACGCCATCGGCTCCAGAGAAACCAAAATACTTTTATACTAACCCAGTATTACCAAGTATCCACGACTATGTTAAACATTTGACAACTAAAGCAGCCACGCTTTTTTAATAAACTACAAAAAAAGAAGTAGGTTCTAAATTCGGCTGCACTTTTTCAACCGCTTCAAAAAAGGAGGTGGTTCCCAATTCTTGGAATCTTTTTTGTATATCTTAGAATTTCGTCATTATTGAACCGATTTGGAAAATTCTTTTTTATTTGGGATACCTATGTTTGGTCCCATTCCAGTCGGTTAAATTTTTTTTACCGACTTCAAAAAGGCGGAGGTTAAAAATTCGGATGTGGATATTTTTTTTTATGTATGTTCGGGCATAACTCCGTCATTTCTTTTCAAAATTATTTTTACGTTCGAAAGGTCCGCTTTTAAATTTCATATAGATCTGATGATGAGTTTCGGAGATAGACAACGGAACTCTTCAAAAAATGACAGCAAATGAACCGCGATTGCTGCTATGTTTTTAGTACTCTTTGTTAATATTGTTTGAAGTTAGTTTTTTTTTTAAAGTTATATAAAAGGTAATTATTTATCTTTCACATGGTACGTGAACGACATAGTAATCTACAAAAAAAATATGTTCCTAGGACACTTATATAGTGTCTTCGTCAATATTTAATAACAATAATATTATATTTAAGTTAGAGTACTTACTCATATTTGTAGTCACCATTATCTCCCATATAAAATTCATTTTTAATAACAGGTACTGGTGTTGTTGTTGTTGAAGCCTGTTCAGGAGCGATCATGCTGTCCCCATAATAGTCGTTCTGTACTTGAGGCACCCAAGGAATTGGCGCCTTAATAGCTTGATAGCTTTGCCAGTCCCGTAGTCTCTGGCTAGGTGGTATGTATGTTGTAGCTGCTTGGTATACATTTACTGGCAGGATTCCAATCTTGGCCTGCTGGTATTCTTCGGCCAGTGACAGACCCAAAATAGTGAAAATATAGACCTGTAGAAAAAGTGATTATTTTATAATCAGAATGCAGCATTCTTATAATAAAATAGAGCTGGGCAAGAGTTGGTCCGTTTAGAAATTAATAGCAAGTGGAAGTTCATTAATGTAATTATGGCATATCGTTCGCATTTTAAACAATACTTGATATATAAACGAATATTCATACAGCAAAACGATTAACGTATGAGAGTGATATACAAAGATATTCTCACTGCTAAAAACTGGTCTTGAATGTTTAAAATAACTCTTTTTTAACTAATAGACCAATTTGGAGTTGCTTTTAGTAGCTATCTAGTTGAAAATCGCTATCAAAACAATATATTATACAAGTCAATATTGAATTTTTTTAAGAGAATTAATGATTGGGAGTAGTAATAGTATACGTTTACTTGTTATAACTAAATACTGATAATGAAATAAACTAGGTGTTTGTCTCCTAAATTTTCAACATTTTTGTCTAATATGTATTTTTTTTATCAAAGTTAATGTAGTTGTATAGAAATTTTGTTGAGAAAAACATGTTAGTTTTTTTAAATTGTTTAAACTAAGTATTCTTTTCTTTAGTTAATCAATGCTAATTAGGACAATGTTGTGCTTGTAAATAAATAAAAAAATTGCGTGGGTGTATTACTATTTTAATTAAATTGTTACGAAATGATATTAACTAATACTTTTAATAGGTAAAAATGATTTTTATTAGAAAAAAAGGGTTTTAAATTAATTGCAAAAATATAAAATAGTCATTTAGTACAATATACCAAATGTATATATCTGCATATAACACATATATCCTCAAATAAGAGACTTTACCAGTGATACGCTTTGACATTTTTTTTAAAATTTGACACTGATATTTTCCACACTAGACACTATCACAAATATCCAAGGACTCACCAGCTTCATCATTGTGTCCTTCTAAGTCGGTTTCCCGTTCAATACTGTGCTTCTAGGGGACAGCTCCACATTTTTATAGCTATCCTGCGTCCTCAAGCGTCCGCGCATCTAGGCTTGAATGTCCGTCAAGATACAATGACCTCACAGTCGTAATCAATAAGTAACATTTTAGGGTAAACTCACATTTTGCTATGGGAAGTTGGTATTTTTATTATGCTATGTCAAACAAGTTTCATAAAAATTAATAATGTATTTGTTTATATACTGTTAGAATTAATCAGCCAGGAGTAAAATCAATAAAGTTCAGTAAGTTAGTTGATATTACTTTTTACTGTTACTTGTATAATATAACAATATGTATGACGAGCTCCCTGATTTTAGAGAACCTTCACACTTTCACACTACTGAGTGTTTCTATTTGTAAATAGGGTTGCCGGCACATCGGGATAGGACAAGCAGTGACCCTGTGGATAGCTGGCGTAGCCGTAGTAGATAGAGATAGACTTTGCATTGACACGCCGTAACTATACTACTTGACGGACCTGTTGGTTAGGGTGTCCCGTCAATGTATGGGTTTTTTTTTAAAGCGACGGCTACGCAAGAGGCATCAAAAGTTGCGTTTTTGTGAATAGATTACAAATATAACAAAATTTAATTAAATATTTGTCATCTTTAGGCCTCTACCGATCCTAGAAGTTTTTCAAATTTGCCATTTTTAGAGGTTTCGAACATAAACTATAAATGATACAAAAATAATGTTTTAAAGGTTTTAATCAAATTTATAGGTACTACAAAGACATAAGGTAATGTTCAGTAAAGTTTAAATACTTATAATTAGTGCTTATTTCAAATACGAAATTGGTTCTTGTGGCCAAAATTAGGCATTTCCGCGAGAGATTTTAATCTGTTTCTGATTAAACCATCCCGAGCTGTAGCGTCCGTGACACTTAGAGAAGCCTCCGTCACTAGCTTTACACATCTTTCCACTGATTGTGTATGACAGGGGAAATCAATAACATCGAAGCTTTGTTCTTTAGCCTTAATTCTCAGTTCGTCGTCGGACATCTGTCGCAAAATCGGTGGAGCGGATATCTCACACTCTTGCCAAAATATCAAATCGATGTAATATCGCGCATCGAAGTTAAGTTTTGGTACTTTAAATACCCTGCGAGTATTGCTTATTTCTGCTTCTCTTGCCTTTAATATTTTGCGAGCTGCAAGCTCTCGAATATGCTCTCTGTCGTCGAATAGCATGGTAACAAGTAAGTTTTCAGGGTGAGCAAAAAAAGCGTTTCTCTCGATCACTGAATTCACAATATATCTTTGCTTATCAGGCAAAAATCGGGAGTATGTAACCATTTGAAAAATATGATTGGCTCCATCTTTGAATGATGAGTTTTTCTTAATGAGGAACCAAACTGGAGCATAAACTTTGACCACATAATTGACAAGCAGCTTTAAATTATTTGATGGCGAAACAGTACTTACATAAAGTCTGAGTATGCGATTGGCAGTAGTTAGCCATCTTGAATGCGTCATTTTTCCAGGTTGGCGGCTCGCTAACTCAGGGGAACAAGAACCAGTCGTCACAGCATGACACATTTCATACAGATACTTTTGATCCGTACTTAGTTCCTTCACAATGTCATCAGGTAATTCGAGCAAATTGCCAGCCACTGCACAAAAAGACACTAGTGGTTTACTTTCACAAACATTTAGCTGTTTTCCAATAGGTCCTGAGTATTCTTTCGACCCAGATGTGCTACCATCTAGAGACATAAACAAATGGCGAAGCGGTAATTCATTTGTGTGAAGCATACAAACACACCATTGTAACGGTCTCTTCAAATAGTCTTCCAGGTATTTAATGACACCTCCTTTCCAACCTGTATTTGTAGGAGTGCCATCGCAACCCACACAACTTACTTCTTCTAAGTTCCATCCTTGATTTTCTAACAATTCTATAATAGAAGTGACAATCCCTTTCGCAGTACCTCGACTCGGCGTCGTATGTCCCAAGTAAATAGATCCCGGCTCTGTAAGAACTGAAATGTGTTCTTCTAAGACTTCTTTTCGGTGGTACCGGCTGTCTATGTTATTGATCTTGAGAGTTGTATCTTTTCGCCCATCGAAGTAGATACTCTTTATAATAATTTTATCGATGTCTTTGCTGGCTTGGGTACGTGACTTTGAAACAGTTCTGTGAATCTTATTTTTATCAATCACAAGGTTTAGATCTTCGGAAGATACCATTCCTACGTCAACTAAGACTGCTGAAGCGACTGCAGCTGCCGTACGCGTTGATAGTCCGTATCGATCACATACCTTAGCTACTGTTGGCAGCGTCAGAGTGTTCCGACTAAATGAATTAGATGGAGACTCCTTTAAGTCACTTTTAGTAGAAGGTTCTATTGAAAGCGACTGTGAACGAGGCGGCAACACGCGTACCGGTACAGTATCGGTTTGTGAAGTACTCGGAAAACATGCTTGCTCTGTCCGCTTCAAATTTTCTTGTCTTTGATGTTTCTTTAAAAGCCTTGCAGTTTCTTTTGCGTCTACGCCGCTTATTGCCATTTTCCTATCATTTCTTTGGTCCAGTAAAAAATCTCTTTCAGAAATAGGAACTTTCTTGGGTTTAGTGCAGGAACAATTTTCAAACGAAGTGCACTTACAAGCAGCGATGTCAAAAAGCTTATTTGACGATTCCAAAAAGCACTTAACTTTGTTGTCATAGCTATCGTTTCTCTTACTTTTAGGATATCTTATTAGTGATAAATATTTGTTAAAATATGCGGTTAGCAGTTGAGTAACCCGTACGTTAGAAACGATGGGCAGGGCCGCGCCGCCCCTGTGTGCAATGTGTGCGGCGCACACAGGCGCCAAGACAATAGAGGCGCCGCCATCGAAATTACTTTTGTTACACTTATACAACAACATATTCTTTGTATTCGAGTATCGATAAGTAAGTAGGTACAATAGGCGCAACATATGCCTTGTAAATAACAAAACATCATTATAATGCGCTTATTGTACAAGTCTTCTAAGATAATATTCACGTGTGTGGTTTAATTTTACGCTTTGGGTTTTAGTTAACATTAGTTACGAGCTCAGCTTTAAAATCAAAAGAACCGCCGTGAGTTTGTTTGAATGAATGTAACCCGATACCCAATGCGTTGCGTGCGACGCAAGCGGGTTGAGGTCACGGGGATTCCCCGACTTTAAGGAACGAGAGTGCCAAAACAATTGATCAATCAGTCAATTGAAAGTGTGTGCAAGGTGCGCATTGATTTTTTATAATAAGATTAAGTTCTAGCTCTAAAAACAATATATAGTTTGTGTGTTGGTGATTGTTTTAACTTGTTTTCACGATGAGTGATAGTACTCAAGATAAAAAAAAGAAATTATCTGGTTACCAGAATTTAATGAGGAAAAGAAAACAAGAAGAAGAACGTGATAAAAATACAACTAAAATAAGTAAATATTTTACGGCTTTACCATCCACTTCCAAAGAATCATTAGAGACAGAAACCAGTAATTTTATCGATGAAGATGATGTTATGAAATCTGATTCAAAAAACGCTTCAGGTACGTGCTTTTTATGTAATTTTCTATACAAATAAATATAACTTTAGTCTATAATGTCAAAATAAAAAAAACATTTTCTTTATTAATTTCATTACAAGCCCTGCTCAGCTTGGGACTAGACGGCGTTTGATTGTCGAGAAATATTCATTTATTTATTTATTTTATCATACATAATTATTAGACTGTTTCAAAAAAATCGACAATTTTTTTTTCTTAATTATATCGAAAATATTGTTGCAAACGGTGGAAAGAAAATCCTGTGAAGGTTTGAGCTCTTAATATTAATATTAAGACGTGCCGCATCGTGAATTTCAATTTCCCATTCAAATAACATGGGAACAACGTTCTCTTGGATTTTAGAATTTTTTAACTCACGTTAGAGATAATATTTTTAAATTATAACTTATTCTTATAGAGAATTTAACGTTCTACAGAAAAGGTGTCTTACAGTTTAGGGATATATTTATTTTTTCAAAAGTTATTTAACATTGAAGGTGGATCGATCTAAAATTTTTACATTTTCTTATTTTCCGAAGCAACCATCAACTTTATGAGAAAACTTACCATATGTAAAAAATATCAAAGACTTCTTAGGAAATAAGTTATAGGAAATTGAATTCTCTATAAAAAATGTATCATAAAATTGTTTCATAAAGTTAATGGTTGCTTCGGGAAATAAGAAAATGTAAAAATTTTGAATCGATCCAACTTTAATGTTAAATAACTTTTGAAAAAATAAATATATCGAAAAACTGTAAGAAACCTTCTTTGTAGAACGTTAAATTCTATATTAGAAAGAGTTTTGATCATTTAAAAATATTATCTCTAACGTGAGTTACGAAATTCTAAAATCCAAGAGAACGTTTTTCCCATGTCAAATCCAATGGGAAATCGAAATTCACGATGCGGCACGTCTTACTATCAATATTAAGAGCTCAAACTTTCACAGTATTTTTTCTTCACCATTTGCAACAATATTTTCGATATAATTAAGAAAAAAAAAATTGACGGTTTTTTTAAACAGTCCAATAATTATTCATAGATAAATCAGTTTATTCCGACAGGTAGATAGGTACTCATATGTCTGTGTTTATCTGTCTTTAATTTCAGATGATGCCGCTGAAGTTACGTCCGTGCCTCTGCCTGATACACCATTGTCACCGCCAAAACAATTATCGTCACCAATACCAATTTTTTCCAAAGATGACCCTGGACTCTGGCCAAAAGTTTTCAATGCTACTGTGATCCAGTATTTAATAGAGAATCCGATTAAACAAATTAAACTGTATAATTTTCCGCGTGACTCTTCGGGGCGAAAATTTTCCGAGTATTATTATGAAAGGCATTTAGGAAACGGTGAAAAGTATCACAGAGAGTGGCTGCTGTATTCAGTGTCCAAAAATGCCGTTTATTGCTTTTGTTGCAAGCTATTTGAATCAAAACATAACAATAAATTCTGCGAGGGAATTAGTGATTGGCAACATCTAGCTTTGTATTGCAGCAGACATGAGAAAAGTTCTGCTCATTTCAATAATTATAAAAAATGGACAGATTTATGTCACGATCTTAAAAATAAAAACACTATTGATAGTTTTCAACAAAAACTTTTAGAGGTTGAAAAGCAGCGCTGGTACGATGTAATCAAAAGAATAATATATGTGGTCCAATTTCTAAGTACACAAAATATGGCTTTTCGAGGCCAAAGTCAAAAATTATACGACCGTAACAATGGTAATTTTTTAAAATGTATTGAACTGTTAGGAAAATTCGATCTTTCAATGACTGAACACATACGACGCGTAACGAATGTTTCGGATTTAAAAAATATGCCGACTTATCTTGGAGATAAGATCCAAAATGAAATAATTTACATACTCGGTAACCAAATTCAACATTTTATTTTAAATTTATGTCAAATTAATAAATATTTTTCAATAATACTGGATTGTACACCTGACGTTTCACACGTAGAGCAAATTAGTATTATAATAAGATTTGTCTATTTTAACACAGAAAATAGAAAGTTGGAAATAAGGGAGCATTTCCTAGCTTTCTGTCCAATTATCGATACAACTGGCGCTGGATTAACGTCATTTATAGTAGAAAAACTAGCCGAAATTAATTTGGACATAAACAACTTAAGGGGACAGGGCTATGATAATGGATCAAATATGCGCGGTAAGAATAATGGTCTTCAAAAAAGATTGTTGGATCTAAATCCCCGCGCTTTCTATGTACCGTGCGCTAGCCATAGTTTAAATTTAATAGTAAACGACGCTGCCAATCTCAGTTATCATACGACTGGATTTTTTAGTATTGTGCAAGAATTATACAAATATTTTTCTTCCTCTACCAAAAGATGGGATATATTAAAAAAATATGTCATAAATCTGACCTTAAAACCATTGTCTGAAACAAGATGGTCAAGCAGAATAGATGCTATCAAACCGCTGTTTACAAATTTACCAGAAATTTATGATGCCTTATATGAAATATCAAATGGTATATCATACGATCAGAAGGCAAAATATGACGCTAAATGTCTAGCAGAAAAAATATGCTCCTTTTCATTCATTTGTTCACTAAATATATGGCATATGATTTTGACAAAAGTAAATTTTGTGAGCAAAATTCTGCAGTCCGTCGATATGAATATGCAAGTTGCTTTAGATGCTTTAACGGAATTGAAGAAGTTTATGATAAAAATTAGAACCGACGCAAATTTTGAAGAAATTGTAAATTATGCCATGAAAATTGCCGAAAAATTAGATGTCGAGGCTGAATTTGAAACTTCCAGATCCAGACCCCTAAGACGTCGTAAGACTCCAAAGAGTTTTGATTATGAACACGAAGACCATACTATAAATGATCTGAAGACCGCTTTTAAAATTAATGTATTTTTCTATATTTTGGATCAAGCTTTATCCTCCGTAGACGAAAGATTTAATTTATTAAATAATCAAAATGACGTGTTTAATTTTTTATTCAAACTAAGTGATGACCAAGATCAAAGTCGATTAAGAAGTAGCTGTCATCGTTTGCAGAAACAACTTTCTGCAAATGATTCATTGGATATTAACGCCGATGATTTGTATGAAGAAATTGTGTCGTGTCAGTCTCTTTTCAAAAAATTAAATAATGATGTGGTGAAAATTCTCGAATTTATATATTTAAACAATTTGACAGCTGTTTGCCCTAACATCACCATAGCATTACGAATTTTGCTAACTATGCCAGTTACCGTAGCAAGCGCGGAAAGGTCCTTTTCTAAATTAAAACTTGTAAAAAATTACCTGCGCTCAACAATGAGCCAGGAAAGATTAACAAATTTAGCAACAATATCCATAGAGGAGGCCATATTAGACCATATAGACATACACGAGATTGTTAAGGATTTCGCAAACAGAAAAGCGAGAAGAGTGGAAATAATATAATTTAAGTATGTTTATATTCTTACATATTTTAGACTTGTTATTTTTTTTAAACATAGCATAAGTAATAGTTTAATCAGTATCATTAGAAAAGTCAGCTATTTCGTTATTAATATCTAAGTATACAATTAGAATTTAACATCATAAGTAAAGTATGTAAAAATTAAATTTGTGTTTTATTTTTCGCAGTAATTGGCAAGCGGAAGCGAACTGCTTTTACCTATTTAGGAAAATATTATCAAAGTATATAAAACTGGAGAACATTTATTTCGGTCTAAATTAACAAATAATAAAAAAACATAAGTTGAAACATGAAGATTCGTGAAAAAAAGAGGCGCTTCATAGGTTTCGCACACAGGCGCTGTGGGGGGTCGGCGCGGCCCTGACGATGGGAATTGAAGCTTTGGTCCAAATTGTGTTAAGTTTTCCAGAAACTATTGAAAAGACTTCTGTGTTCGATGGATCTTTTCCGTTTTTCTGTAGTTTTAATTCACTTTTAGTAAATAAAATGCACTTAATAACGTCTTTTATAACAGGTAATTGGCGATCGTCAAGTTATTTATAAGGTCCCAATATAGTATAAGTAGTCTCACTTCGCCTTGAACACATTTTTATGATTAAGTAACGCAAATTACGTTTTTCTTTCAAAGAAGAATAGAACAACTCCTTACAAGAGTAAAATCGAAATAGAAATGAGACGAATTGTCTTGTTGTAGAAGTAGTGCACGTACGAAAATCAAGTCAAAACATGAATTTTGTAGGAATTTTGCAAGTCCGATCCAAACCGATTGATCGCTAAAACAACCTGTCGATACTTGCAAATCATAGCCGAGGCTTTTCTTATTGATAAAATTACAAGACAAAACAGGATTGATTCATAAAACATAGAATATACGACATTGACTACAAGGCTGTTTTTGCGAATTTTCAGTAAATAAAAATGCTGGTAGAGCCCTAAGGATATTTTTAAATATTTTTTGAATTATTTTTACGCTAATCTACGTTTAACAGCGCAACTTTTGAGAGGTCTTAAGTAGCTAAAATAAGAATAAAAAAATTTCAGGACACCCTACTGTTGGTCCAGTGGTTAGTTACCCCGACTGCTAAGCCAGAGGTCGTGGGTTAGATTCTCAACCAACACAAAATAATTGTGTGATAGTCATTTGTTCTGTGTCTTGGTGTAATTCATCTACAATATTATGTTTGTATTTAGTAATGTTTATGTCAGCAGTCTGATTACCTTAGCATAGGTTCTGCCTAGTTTGGGGTCAGACTCCAGTGTGAGAGATGTGTATAGTTATTTTACTAAATGTCAATTATAAAAATAAAAATATTTCAATAGGAGTAGCGTATGTTACCCTTTTTTTTTTTTTTTTTTCCGTGCGGAAATCCCCTCGGATACCACCTGTCGGTGGCATGTCGGACTCGAACCGACTAAAACCGCACGCCTTCGCCGGGTACTAATAGCCGGGGAACCAGGTATACCCTAGAAAGGAAGTCCCTGGTGAGCGTATGTTACCCTAGAAATTTATATCTTTAGAAAAGTAGGTTCATTGCGTTCATAAACACAGTAAATTAACAATATTTTTTGTTTTTACAAGATGTCATTACTTTTTACACGCTTTATATTAGCTTCACTTGTATGTTTGTTTTTATGTTTGTAACCGACTCCTTTGGACGTGATTTTGACTAACTATTAAATAATAGTTTTAAAAAACTAAAAAACTGCTTTTTACTGTTGACAACAGGCACCTAACGCTTTTTTTCAAATTTATTTTTTATACATTACATTATAAAATGCGGTTACAGAATAATAGCAATTATATTTTTAAACAAACATGTAAATAGTTGTCAATAAAAATGGAATCAGAAAACACACCATATCGTGTTTTGCTAGCTACTTTAATGTACGCAATTTCACGTTCTGCAGACTCCGTCCCACTGTTCTTCGAGTTTTGTATATTAGTTACTTATTTATTACTTCATTAAAGAAACCCTATGACAAACAGGATAGGATGATATTGTTAGGCGCTGGGTTTTTTGGTTTAGCTTACGGAACCCTGAAGAGTACAGAAAAAATAATTTGTTTATGAAGACTTTCTGAAAAATCTGAAGGAAAATATTGTGTAAAGAAGTACAAACAAGATTTTGTCCGGTTGCATTATCGCATTATTATTAGTGATGGCGCAGTGGTTTATGTAATGGACTGCTACGCCAAAGGTCGTAGGTGCGATTTCCGCTCAAGTCTAAAATTTGTGGTCATGAACATTTAATGTTAGGATAGCTCTGGGTATTTCTATGTATATGTATGTATTTACAAAATAAAGTGTATATGTGTTTATATCAGCTGTTTAGTACCCATAGTACAAGCTCTGCTTAGTTTGGGACTAGATGGCGTTGTGTGAATCTAGTAGAATATTATTATTATTATTACTATAACGCTGTACGCTTCATAATACATCGTGATAATATTAGCTTAGCACCACATTGAAAAAGTAATAGACAATGAGTAATGAATAACTATTGACAAGCCTAGATAAACACTGCTTTGAATATAATGAGATGACTCTCCACAATGCGAGTAAATAGGTGAACATAGACACCTCCGTCTGCCATTTAATGACGTAAATGAAGCACTAAACGATTGTTTATTTCTTGGTTTGTAGTTAAATTTTTAAGGTCTGAATAATGGAATAGTGCTTAGTATTATAATATGCGTAGTTGATGGTTTACATATAATCTCTCTCTTTATCGAGTCAAAATGTAACTGTTCTAAATAGGAGTATAATAGACCCAAATGGATGTATTAAGTCCGTCAGTTTAAAAAATAATAATTCACCATTATTTTTTAACACTTTTAAATTTTTATTAGGAGGCGGCGCAATTGTTTTTTTTTTTTAATCGCTAGTTTATTACTTCGTGCTAACATATAGAAAGTAATCCTTTTTAGACAGGTTATACGGAAAAGCTAAATGAGGGTATGGAAAACGTAGGTATATCCCAAGTCTCGAATAGGGAAAGTGGGCTGAAATCGCAGTAGCTAGCAGTAACTAGAAGAGGCCGGGGTCGCGTATCCGCATGTCCTTCCGTTTATTGGAGAAGTCACTAGGACAGTGACATCAACTAGTTGTAGGTATATAGAATTCTATTAATCAAAATTCCAATCGGCCTAAAACGGAAAAAAAACCGGTTTCAATAGAACGAGATCTTCTATATATCATATTCTATATAAATTATCATTTTTTTCCTCTTTTTTTTTTTTACCGTGCGGAAATCCCCTCGGATACCACCTGTCGGTAGCATGTCGGACTCGAACCGACTAAAACCGCACGCCGTCTCGGGTACTAATAGCCGGGGAACCAGGTATACCCTAGAAAGAAAGTCCCTGGTGCCCCGACACACCTCGGGTCATCTAACGTTTTTTTTTCCCCTAAGGTTCATACGTGCCTTTAAAAGCCTTTAAACAAATATATAAAACAAAAAGAATTACTAAAATCTTACTGATGGCATTTTACTCATGAATTTAGCTTGTTTTACACAAAAAAATAAAAAAAAGCATCAGATTTATTACTTTATTATATGTAGATGAAAAGATAAGTCTTTGTACCCTCTTTAAGGCTAATTTCGTGCCTTGAGAAATATTCCGATTGAAATAATTACTTGTGAAACATACAAATGTAAAAAAATGTACTTAATAACGATCACTAAAATAAAATAAAAGCAAAACAATTTAAGTTCTACCACTTGGCGATCTTTAGTAAACAAGAAAATCCCTCCACTAAAAACCTGGCAGCAATCGCGGTTCATTTGCTGTCATTTTTTGAGGAGTTCCGTTGTTTGTCTTCGAAACTCAACAACAGATATAATTTAAATGAGTTTCGGAATAAACCCATTTCGAAAAAAATAATAATTTTGAAAATCCGTTTGTATATGACGGAGTTGAGCCGAACATACATAAAAAAATATAAACATCCGAATTGATAACCTCTTCCTTTTTGAAGTTGGTTAAAAATAAAAACATGGACTCGAGAAATAAAAGAAGAGAAAATTTAAAGTGTATTGAGAGAGAGAAATAAGTAAGTGGTGGGTCAAGAAAGTAATGGGATGTTGCTTGTCAATCAATTACATACATACTCGTACATACTCCAAATAGGAGCCATAGTACATGACCCTCCGCTTTCCGTATCCAGTCCATCCTAGCTACCTTCTTTAAGTTGTCAGTCCATGTGGCTGGGGAACATCATATTTTCCATTTTCCGAACCGAAGGTTCCACTTAAGGCCCCTTTTGATCCAACAGTCGTAGGTCTTTCGGAAGCCGTGATCAGCCCATGGCGATTTCAGCAAGCTAATTCTTAACTAACTAACGTAACTTTAGTGCTTTGTTGGATGACTTTATCACGAATTATATCCTTTAACGAGCAATTTCCCGTGGCTCGTTCCCGTGATTATTTCTTATTTCTTACTTTGAAACGAACGACGAACTTCCATACACCGTTCATCATTTATTTTACCCCCTTAGGTGTGAAATTTCTAAAAGTACTTTCTTAGTGTTTACAACATAAAAACATCAACAGCCAAAATCCCAAATTTATAGCCCAAGCGGTTTTGGGCTCTGCGTTGATGAATCTGTCAGTCAGAGTAAGTAATTTTATAGTTATAGATGAAACAAACCATAGCTCGCTCCATATCACGTTGAGTAATTATTATTTTGTGGCCTGGTTCTACCGTTTAGTGTCTTTGTGTGCAGGTTAGGGGCACACAACCGTAACTCGAACTTTTCGTTGCCGATAATTTCGAGTAAATATCATCAAATGTTTTGGTTTCATGTTACAATAGTGATGATATTTCGCAAAAAAACGTCAAAAATAAATATGACACACGTATTGGGCGTAGGTCGTAGATATTGCTAATTGTTATTGTCCATGTCTTGGTAACACTTTTGAGATTTATTATAGAGCAAGATAAATATTTAAATTGTTCTGGTTTCACATAAAAACAGAATTTATAACATTTTCTACCTACTTCTGTCGGTTTTGGTTGTACAGTGAGTCGTTTTAAGATATGAAGTCTATTATCATTCATCATTTAGTTTGGGTGTGGCTTATGATTTGAGGAAAAATAAAGAAAAAGCAGTTATTAAATAATACATAGTTAGCATCAGTATTTTAGACAGTTTAAAAATGCTAAAATTTAGATATTTATTTAGCTACTAAATATACATGTAAGAAAATAAATATCAAAGTTCTTTGGAAATCTTAATCTTTATTATACGCAGAAGAAAAAATAACTTTGATGGTATAATTATTTTATTTAAATCGGTTGACTTATTAAGGAAAAATGTCCCACATTAAAACTTGATAAATGCTAAATTTGATTAAATGGTTTTCATTAATTACTTTTGATAAATTGTAAAATCCTTACAACCTGACTTGCTAACAGTATAATTAATTTAAAATCTTGGACGAATTAATTAGTTAACAAATTTGCTGGTTAAGCTTGGATTAAAAACATTAGAACGTAAACGTTAGAAAGATTTTTGTGCCTAAAATGTTTTCCGTGTTTTATCCCTTGGTTCATTACCTATTGATTAAATCCTCCTTGGAGAGAGGCGCCTTTAGGATAAGCAAAGTTCTTCATTTTAAGCTTGTTTGTTTTAGTATAACTTAAAACATTTTGGGAAGATAGGCACAGATATCTATTTCTTAGCATTTCATGGTTTCACCATGCGGCTGCCTGGTCCATCGCGTGATAGATAGGAGCAACACATACGACTTCGATAGCGCCTAAGACTTGTGATTCAGGTATAGGTTTAGGGAGTACTCCTTGCGGCGCTTAAGCGCTCACCTCCACTGTCTGCTGTGTTATCCCCTCTACCTAACCATAATTGATATGAGCCTAGCAATGCCGCTTTGGCTATTCGTTCAAGAAAAGAGCTTACTGAAACTCTTGGCAATCCAAGGTCTTTTAGCAGGTTATAGAGGGATTTAGCTGGTATACCCCTCGCACCCACTCCCACGGCATATAACGCATTGACATAACCATTTTTAGTTATTGCGTTTTTTAAGTCAATGTACTTGTTTCTTTTTAAAGCGTGGTCTTTAGGGATGTTCTTTTCCCACGGCACCGTGAGTTCTACTAGTACTACACGCTAAATTGAAATTGCATAAAGAAATATGTTTGCTCTGGACACCCAGGCACAGATATCCTCCGGTAGTCAGTAATGATTTTCATACGTGTCCACTAATAATGTGCAGTTATTTATAATTGAGTACGGCTTTTGTGAAGTATTTTTTATTGAACCTTCCTTTACAAACGCGATGTTAGTTCTTATGTTTGTTGTTATTCCTTTTTTCGCACTCGCCAGTGACTTATAGTTTTGGTGTTTACTTTCAACGTAGAGGTCTAAATAGGAAAAGATAATATCTGTATTGGAAAAAGACAAATATTGTTGATGATCTAACCAAAAGAATTCGGTCATATAGATAGAGTATTCATAAAAGGCCCATTCGTTAAAGATAAAATCATAGACATCACGAATACCGTGACACACTCATTAAATAGTAAGTTATTTGTGATATCTTTAAATTGTTCTGTAACTGTATTACTAAAAGACTGATTATTAATTGCCAGGTAGCACTTTGCTACTCTCACTAGCAATGTAAAGGAAAAAAGATTACAAAAAGAAAATTACATAAATAATATATTTATTTATGTAATTTTCTTTTTGAATAAAATCAAATCTACGAGTATAGTTTGCAGTGTAATGTTTTGATGTTGAAAGTTAATGAGCAACTGTGTAAGTTTCTAATTAGGATTTCTCAAAACTTTTATATGTTATGTTTATATATTACTTATATAATAAATAAAATATTTATTGTACTAGGTCCTATATGTGTCAATACAGATTCAGGTCGATGGCCTCCTTGGTTGGTCCCCTCACCGCCCCCGCTCACCAAAGATCTCCGCCCGGGCCTGGCGAGATACATGCCCGAGTGCGCGCCCTAGTCCTCGACCACATGTCAAACCGGCTCAGGGAGGTGTTTAACGCTTGCTTGGCGTCCGAACGTTTCCTTGAGTGAAGGAAAGGCAGGAAGCTGATCCTGTTAGGGAAGCGGGTAGCCTGCAGATTCGGTCGCGACCTACAGGCCGATCGTGTTGCTGGTCGAGGCGGGTAAATTGTTGAGGCTATCGGGCCTAGATAAAGTATCTGGGCCTGATCCTTGACGGGAGGTGGCTCTTCGACTAGTTCTTCTGAAAGTTTACTCCAAAGCTGGTAGGCGCTTCGTCTGTCCTTAGACGACTTTAGTCCGATTTGGGTGGACTTAACGTCTATACAATATGGCTGTATACGGGGGTTTTCCGGTCAATGCCACTGTACGCACTGGTGCACCGGGCACCTGAATAGAGAATGTACTACGGCTACATTCTCTATTCAGGTGACTTTGTACTCGAGAATGTACCGCTCTATTGCGGGCAGGCGCTAGGAGGGGTCCGAATGTCTTAATAACAGCAGTGCCCGGCTCTTCAGGCGCAGTGTGGTACACACTCCGCCGCAAAACTCCGGTAGGGTGATGGACCAAGGGGGTAACCACACGCCAAAAAAATGACCAATATGTGTAAGAGAAAGAAAATAACAAAATTTTGCTTATTGGTTTTATTACCGATACAAATAATACTTTGAACATACAAAATTATCACAACCTGTTTTACCATCAGCGATCGAATTCACAATTTACAATCGTGACCAAGATCACTGACAATCGATTTATCAAACAAATCGATTTGGTTAACATTACTAAAATCGTTCAGAGGTAATTTAATTGGTATATCTACGCCTCTTTGTCTACCAAAGTATATTATAAACAAAACAAAGTATAAAATATTTTATCAGTTGTTTGGGCTTCGTCGTTTGCTTGACGTTGTTATAAAATCTTTGTCCAGATACGCTTTAATAGACAGTAGATACACGCACCCTATATTTTTACACATTAATAATCTCTATCATTTGTAGTTACTTCTAAGCTTAGTATATGTCATGGTATATACCACAGTTTTAAGTTTGTTTGAGTATTAAACGTTGTAATGTGGGTTGTAAACTTGCTGCTGAGGCTGGTTGTAACTCGGTTGCTGTTGTGGGTAGTAAGTTTGTTGCTGAGTTGGGTAGTAGATCGGTTGTTGGGTTTGGTAAATAGGGTATGTGGGCTTTACTGTATAAGTGGGACGCGGAGTGGTGTAAATGGGTTTGGGTGGATAAGTGGGACGCTGAGTAGTGGATTGAACTGGGTAAGGACTTTGCGTTTGAGAAGGATAGGAGGGGCTGTAACAAAGAAAAATGAAAGTTAATTTAAAAATTGACCCAACAATATTTATGGTCACAACTTTTTATAAAAACATATAATTGAGAAGGTATCTATTATTGAGGCAGTTCTAAGCACGTAAATAATTTTTTTACATACCGTACAGTATGTAAGAAATTTACACAAAATTGGTGTAACATTGACTTTTCTGAATATCACAAGGTGTCTATATTACTAGTAATTTTAACAATCACTGTAATAAAATACCAACTATGTTACTGGCTTAATCTACTTGCTGGTTTTGACCCTGCTATCTTTTGATCGCTTTTTCAATAAATTTTAATACTAATAAGGAGCTACGTCACAGCAACAGAATTGACAACCTTATTTTACAACTGTCTAAAAGCCGTATTGTATCGTAGTCTCATTTATAACAATATATAATTAGTGCCAATATACTACATGTTGTTTCTTGTGTTTTCACATTTATCTTTTTTTTTTCTATCAAGGTTATTTATTCCGCTCCGACGTTGAACACAGTCTGGCCGTCATGTAAAATGCTAATATATGTTTTGATTTGACAGATAGTATGTGAACTATATTAGGTACTCCTATTATGCTTGTAACTATTATTTTGAGAGCTTTTGTTATTTTTAGTATATTCTTGGATTGTTGAATCATCATTTTTTTTATGTTTGTAGATGTTATTAATTGATAATGCTTAAGCTATTTATGTAATTTATGGATTCCTATTGTCGGGCGATGACATGTATAGAAATGCTAGAAATTTCTACATATACTTCTTAAAGGGCAATTTAGAATTACGAAAGTCAGGATGAAGTAACTTTCTGGTGTTTAAATCTTTGCATAGTCTTTTTCTTGATTTCAAAATACTTGATTATTAACTCAACATATGTTTAGGAGCATTTGGTACACAAAACTTGTTCACATAACTTACTACCGAGCTTGCTTTTATGGTCTCGAGTCTCGGTCGTCTGGGAATTTAATAAGCCAGAGATGTAAGTAGAAAATTTATATTGAGAACTTCTAAATATTTTTCAACTTCAAGTCATCGTGTGAACACAGATTATATGCATATAAATCGCACTCACAAGTCTCGTGCTGAAAGATGTCATAACAACGTATCTGTTTAAACAATTGTGCTATTTATTCAGTCTTAGTTAGTCTTAATGACATTTTTATATTACTGTGATAGCAAGCAAGTGTGGCTCTATTGATGACTAGCGTTTACCGAAGTGTAACATCAGGGGTGTGACGTAAGCGTTGAAAACAATATTTATTTAGTGTTTATATAAGTTGGTATTATTTGAATCGATGAATTAAAATACATATCGGACTTACCGGTTAGGAGAAGGCAAGTGAGCGCCATATGCGTGGTATCCAGTGTGGTCAGCCCAGTAAGTGACCGTGTAGGTAATGCCGTCAGCACCGACGAAAGAGTACCAGCCCTTCTTCACGAGACTTTCATCAGTTTGCTTAGGGTCGGTAAACCAGCCTTGCTCGCCTACGTGAGTGCCATCTGCCGTCTTATATCTGAACAGAAAAAAATCTTGACTGTGACATTATCCATATAAAAAAAAATGAAATCTATTCCGAGTCCTTCAGCCTCGCTGATCTTTCCAAATGATTTGAGTATTTTCATTAAAAAGTATAGATGCATATTTTTATCATCAATAAAGGGAAAGCAGCCTTCTCAATTTATCTTTAACCATTATTTTTCTCTACATTTCTTTTGTTTCCATAACACTCTGTCTCCAGTTGTATTTGCGGTCCGTGGTTAAAAACCTGGCCGTAACCAGCTCCTTTATTAAATAATATGCTTTTTTCATCTAAAACTTTTAGAGAAAAGCTAGGTGTGAACATTAAACTTAAACTTAATGTTGGAGCAGTACGAGTCCTCCTCGTAATGCTGGTGATAATTTTCATCCTTAAGTTATTCGACTTCAACTTATTTGTAAGATGAGCTAAACGCTAGTGTTACAAGTTGCTTTCAATAGGAGAACGTGTAAAGTATTATGTTAGATGTCAAAAAATAACAGAATGCAGGACTTTTCAGGTACCACATAAGAATATGAGTTTAACATTGGTATAGTGTGATCTCAATCTGGATACAATTTTACTATATGACACAATCATTAAAAACTTACTCGAAATTACTGTGTTAGTACATGGGCACTGACGTAAGAAATATGTGTTTGGCATTATTTTAAAACACCTGTTTCTAATGGCACATTTGACACATCTCACACACGGCAGCCTGATCCTTAACTAAGCTATTAATTAAGATACTTATTTATTTCTAAACACATATATATTGTAGATAAATTACACCCAGACACAGAACAAATGATTGTGCTCATCACACAATTATTTGTAATGACTGGAAATCAAACCCACGACCTCTGGCTCAGCAGTACCCACGCAATTAACCTTCGTCGTTTACCTATGACTAACATAAGCCATTATAAAAAAAGTAGCCAGGAAGAAGTAAAGGGAGACAACTCTTTTAAAATAAGTGTAGCAGTATCGAACGTTTGGGACTATGAATATAGAAAGATAAATAAAAAATTCTTACTCGTATTTGTAATCACCATTATCACCATAGTATACGTCGTTTTTAATGACAGGGACTTGAGGAGTTGTGTGGTGGTGATGTTGACCGCCTGTATTTCCCCAGTAGTTATTCTGTACCGGAGGTTTCGCTGGCTGCACCCAAGTGTTTACTGGCTGAATAGGACGTTGAGGTTCATACTGCTGTTGTATATAGTTTGGAGATACGTAACTGCTAGCGGCTTTGACTAAATCATCACCGTCATTTAAGATCTCGACGCTTGTAGCTGCAGCTTCAGAGTCTTCGATATTTGTCTGGACTTCCCTTTTCTCTTCTTCGGCCAATGTGAAAGCCAAAATGGCAGTGAAAACAATGAACTGGAAACGTGAAAGAATTTATTTTTTGAGAACGTTTTGATTGTAATATAAAGACGAAAATTGCTGCATGCCGAAGTTCAAGTATTAAGAATATGATTAAAAATAATGAATGAATTTGAAATTGCAAACATAAATAATAAAATTGAAAAATGCAATTAATGACTAAGATTTAGATTAGTATCTTCAGATTTCCGATCTTATTTCATATTCAAAATAAAACTGATGCTTACTGATTTAGAGCTCATTCTCATCATCATAGATTCATGCTTATTTAGAGCCAAAATCAGTGAAAGTATAGAACAATAACTCAAAGTTCTAAAGTTTATTCGCAAAGATTTTTAAGAACGCAAACTCCAAGCTGTAACACTGTTCATAAAATTATTCATAAAAACTGAAACTCAACATAACATTGGATCCATTCTGAGCTATACATCTGTCATGAATTTTATGTTAGTGAATCTGTTTTATACATTCAAACTTATGTTTTAAAAAGATTACGTCTTTAACCAGCATTTAGCCGTCTATTACATAAATGCCCAACAATTTATATAAGAGACAGCGATTTAAGCTTTAAAACTAGATCACAATTTCGGTGCAATCTAATTTATGAATGTAACCTATTTATTCCAGGTTTTTAATTAAGTTATTAAATTTAAAACGCGAATAAATATTAGTATATAGACTCTAAACTAAATTACAAAAGCTATACTTTCCGTAATAGGTAGGTAATTTAGTCTTAAAACGTCCAATTCAGAGTTTATTCCATAATTATTTTTTGCTGATGGAGTTGATTGTGGATTTACATATTAGATAGTCCGCCATAATACGTGTTTAGGTATATCATTTTCTTATGTTGTATCTATTTACCTAAAAGATACGAAGTTATTCCAGTCGTTAGCTGGCCGACAAATTAAATTTATTAGTGTACCTATACCTACGTCTATACGTGAGATTTTGTGTAGATTAAAAAACTTTATGAGAAACAATTTGCTAGTTTTTTGTTCAGTATTAAAACTTAAATTCCCTGCAGTTTAAGAGGCAATGTGAATTATAAGTTTTGTTTTTTAAAATAAAGAAAATTATTTTTTTTGAAAATAGCAGGCTTACACTGAATAGACATTTCACAATTTATTTATATTTTGAATTTTGTATGAAAAAAGATTTATTTGGAACAAATTTGCACCATGGGTACCATTTAAAAAAAATGTATTGGTATTGATTTTTTTCACATAACGCACTTGCACAAATATCCGAGGACTCACCAGCTTCATGATTGTGTCCTTCCAAGTCGGTTCCTCGTTCGATACTGTGATCATAAGGAGTCGCCCCACATTTTTATAGCACAATATCCTGCGTCCTCATGCGTCCGCGCATCTTGGCTGCGCATACGTCGCAGATACAATGACCTCTCACTCAAATTACCCAAGAATGATTAATAAATACCATTTGGGGGAAAAGTCACATTCTGATAGCGGAAGTAGGTATTTTTATGAAGCGGTTAAGGTTTATAATAATAAACGATCGATATTAACAAATTAGAAGCGAGTCTCAATTTTCAGTAGGCTTATAAAGAAAACTATTTTTCGATTACACTTTATTGAAAATTATAGATACTAAGCACTGACGTTAATGTTGTGGATAATTAAAATACCTAATTTTCAATTATTTATCAAACTGTTTTAATATTAACAAAGCACAAAAACAGCAAGAGGTTTTGGCTAAAAATTAAATACTAAGTCATTTACTGCTTTTGATCGAAATAATTAAACTGAGAAAAAGTTATTAGTTTTAGATAAGATTCGACTTTATGAACTCATTGAATTGTGACCAAACAAACCTTAGTTATAGATTCTTCGCTAATACACATCACAATGGTTACGGTTCTAGGTTTCGTGGTAAGCACGCACGTACATTTCAAGCGTACTGGTTCAATGTGGACACATGTAAAGTAAGGGTAATTAATCAGAGCTCTATCACGCGCGTTATTTCCTTATAACAAACAAACATTCCTAGTTTCTCTCTTTTAGAAATAGATATAAACTAGAAATACTTGTTAACTAACTGTTCTAGTCTAGACTTTTAAAGGGCCTAATTAACTCTTGTCCGAGTGGTGACGGATTAAGAACACGTAGTGCCACCACCCCTATTCATCCCGTGGGTATCGTAAGAGCCAACTAAGGGAGCAAACTACGCAGGACAACAGCACTGCAAAGAGAAGAAAAACTTGGAACAAACCCTATACCAACCCACCTGGCCAGCGTAGTATAGTAGGCCAGAACCTCCTTTTGAAGGAGAGGTCTATGTCCAGCAGTGGCCTAGCAAAGGCTGTTGAAGTGATGATGATGGACTAACTCTTTTCGTCTGCCTATCTTGTTGTAATCTTTTTATTATAAAATTTCTAAGCTTTTGTAATAAACCTGAAAAATAAGATAGTAGCTTGGGTCAGAAGTAGTTGACTTGGTAGAGAAGAATTTAAGAGTTTTCAAACAAAAATGTGAACGTTAATATAAGAAATGTCAACATTTATTTGTATAAAAAGTAATTACTTTACTTTACTCGCCTGCAAAGTCAAGTGCTTCAGGTTTAAATGGCGCTCGGTGCAAGTCTTTTTTTTGATGAATTACGTACAATAAAGTAGCTGTTTGTATGACAAATTTGTACCAATGTATTAAGAAATAAGAACGGATCTAAGTATCCAATTTAATTGTGTATATGTACGGGATATTAATGCGAAGGCGTAATATGTGTTACATTTCTTTGCATTGCTTGACGTTTCGATCAATTTGATCAACATATATATGGTATATACGTATATTATGATACGCGAAATACTAAAAGTTTGTATCTAAGCATCTGAGTTCTAGAAAACCGTGATTCAAACTAAACTCTACCACCATCGGTAAGTGTTCTAGAATATGTATCATTGTCAATATCATTTATAGATTTCGTGGGTGTAACCTATATAAATTTGTTAACTTATATTTTAGTGCGCAACCAAATTAAGACAATGTGCATCACAATAATGGACTTTAAAGGCTTGCATTTGTGAGTCACTTGTTTATACGCCTATCCCATAAGACTCGTCAAGGTTATTATCACGATTATGAGCTCAATACAGCTTAGCTTAATAAAGGATTTCATATACGTATTAAAAATAGTGGGACACAAACACTGTGAATCTTATAAATACTTACTTAAAAAAATAGTGCTGAAATCTGTCATCATTTCCTTTGGTAACTCAGTATTCGTAATTCATTTATTGAGTTTTGTTAATTAAAATAAGTTGTATAAAAATTTGCAATAAGCCTGTCCTTATCGCTAGTTCTTAAAAGAAGTATAAACGTGAAATCATTAATCAAACTAAATGTGGTAGAAACTTTAGAAACATTTAATGAATTGATTCTTAAGAAGAAAAATGTTATCTTGGATCGTGTTACAAATGAAATATCTACTAAAATACTCTACGTCGCCTGTTGATTAATGTTACGAATAGATGAATTGAATTATCAAAAAAACAAGAAACCGTTTGACGTTTACGCAGTTTGTTTTTTTAGGTATCAGAGGTAGTGTTTTATACTCTATACAGATTAATGTAATGTTGGTCTTGAAATATTTGTGAAAGTCCAGGGAAAGTTTAAACAATGAGAAAATTTGGAAAAAATATAAAAAAGCCATACTAATTTACCTACTTGTCTCATATTTGATGTTCGCCTCATGAGTCAGTACGATAAACTTAGAGCCCGAAATTACAGAAGGTATTAAATTAAATAAGGGTTTCGATTGCCGTCTTTAGATGAATTAGGTGAAACGAGGTTCATTAAAATATCAAAAAACACATAGGACATTACAACCTTGTGATAAGCGTTTTATACGATCATAAAATGAATATATGGATGCGGATCTAAGTTATAACTTTTCAAAGTGACCGAAAACTCTGAGTGAACATGCAAACAACTAATCTAGATTGAATTCATGTGCTTTTGAACTTAAGACGTAGTGATAGGGACGTGTACTGAATATAATATATTTAATATTGTATGTTATTTATAGGTAAAGTGTTTCTGAATAAGGATAATATGTAAACAATTTAAGCAGCACATGAAAGTTCTAATGACAGTAGGAGTAGAATACATACACTCACCCGAAGGGCGTTTTGAATGTTTACATTACTTACTTATTATGACTTTGCTATCACTTACATAATTGGGGGCAAGCCTATTTTTTTTATGGAAGAGGGTTCTAGACGGGTCACCTGAAAGCGACTACCGCCGCCCATGAACGCCTATCTGCCGTAACTGGGGAGGAGTCACAAGCGCGTTGCCGGCCTTTGAGTAGTACGCTCTTTTCTTGAAGGTTTGAAGGTCGTATCGGTATGGAAATACCGCAGACGATAACAAACACACATACACTTATTGGACACTTAAAGTAAGGAAATTGTGAGCATATTGAGAAGAATATTAGATAAGAACAGAAAGCAACGGTAGAGAAGGTATAGCTATACTAATATTATAAAGCAGAAGAGTCTGTTTGCTAGTTTAAAGTGTTAATCTCAGACAGAATTGGTTCAAATTGAAAATTTCTTTTAGTGTCGGATAGCCCATTCTTCGAGGAACGCTATAAACATTACGCTAAGGTCAATAGGAACCGAGCATCAATGAAAAATGTTGCGAAAACGGGCAACATCAGTCAAAGTTGCCCTGGTCAGCTAGTTGGTTATTTTTTTTATTTTTTTGTATGGTATAAGGGGGCAAACGAGCAGATAGGCACTTGATGGTAAGCAACTACCGCAACTCAAAAGTCACAAGTGCGTTGCTGCCCTTGGAGTCCCTCCCACTCGAGTCAGCGGAAGGGGGATTTGGGCTCCGGTAACCTCACTTACTCAGTGAAAGGCATCGAAAGAATTGCTTAACACCGGTTTTCTGTGAGGCCGTGGTATCACTCGGTTCGAGCCGGCTCATTCGTGCCGAAGCATGACTCTCTCCACTGTTATATGGATGGATCCGGGAATGGAAGCAATAGCTTGAGCATGTCAGGGTCGCATACGTATAACTGGCATTCGCTATTGCCGGAAAGTCCTTAGAATGACTAATGGGAATCTTAATATCATGTTGGGTAGTCTCCTGGCCGTTTTAAGAGAACGTTCATTTTCCTTGTATAAATAAATGTAAAGTCTAGACTAAATCTACACTGCGCAATGGTTTAAATGGTAATCTGGATAACCGCCTCCGCATTGAGCATCTTGTGTGTGTTTACCACATTATTTATTTGATTTACAGGTAAGAGTTTTGGGTCCGGGTGTACTTTGGGATAATAGTTAGTTATTTGATTATAAAGTCCGTCTAGATAAAGATCACTCGTATCTTCTGATGTAAAATTTAATAATAAATTTAAAGTAGTAAATAATATGATTGGAACTAAAATAAAAATAACTTTTTATTTTGTTTTTATTATACAGAATGTAAAGGATTTGTCATGTTCAGGATTATTACTTTCAATAAACTTAAATCAACAAATCCACTTAGAATATTTAAATATAGATATTATTTAACACTAATGATAATAGAAATGATAATATTTTCACTGATAATATTTGTCAGTCTCACAGATAACGCAATATTATTGCTTATAAGTCTCCACAAGAAAAATGAATACATATAAATAAATGAAGTACGGATTAGGATGGGGTCATTTTCAGGGGTCCAGAAAGGTTTAGAGGCGATGAATCCGTCTGCATTGTTGCCGTTTCGGTAAAAGAAGAACAGATATGAACTAGCATTTAAAAAAAAATGCACAAATATCTTTACTACGTTTATTGGTACAGAAGAGTAACATATTAATAAGTAAAAATAAATTAAAATAAGAAGCCTTTTATTTCTGACAGATTACATAAAGAAAAAGTTTAATTCTATTTATTATAATTTTTTGTTAGTAATCAAGTTTTGTGCCTAAATTTAGTTGTTAGTTTTTTGATTTTACATAGATTTTTAATTAATCCTATTTTCTTAGTCTATTATTTAGTCTGCTAGAACCCCTCTGTAGGTGAAGGCCTCCTCCAAAGATAGCCAGTCCTCTCTAGATTGGGCTACTTGGGGTCCAGTTGGGGTCGGCTGTTTTTTGAGCTCATTTTCCCAGCTAGCTAAGGGTCTGCCTCTCCTTCTTTTGCCTTGTGGACCTGCCCTTTGCGTCCATCACTGGTCTCGTAGGCGCGCCACATGTCTGGTCCACTTCCATTTTAATGATTGTGCGTGTCTCAATCCATCCTTTGCCTTGG